TCTTATTTATAATGCTCTAATTCAGAAAACAGAAAATTCCTGATCTCATTGAACAAAACCTAATTCTGCTAAGAGAAAGCTAAAATCGACTGTAGAACTGATCTTAATCTGAATAAGAACTAAACTAGAACTAGAACTGAACTAGAACTGAACTAGAACTGAACTAGAACTGAACTAGAACTGAACTAGAACTGAACTAGAACTGAACTAGAACTGAACTAGAACTGAACTAGAACTGAACTAGAACTGAACTAGAACTGAACTGAACTAGAACTGAACTAGAACTGAACTAGAACTGAACTAGAACTGAACTAGAACTGAACTAGAACTGAACTAGAACTGAACTAGAACTGAACTAGAACTGAACTAGAACTGAACTAGAACTGAACTAGAACTGAACTAGAACTGAACTAGAACTGAACTAGAACTGAACTAGAACTGAACTAGAACTGAACTAGAACTGAACTAGAACTGAACTAGAACTGAACTAGAACTGAACTAGAACTGAACTAGAACTGAACTAGAACTGAACTAGAACTGAACTAGAACTGAACTGAACTAGAACTGAACTAGAACTGAACTAGAACTGAACTAGAACTGAACTAGAACTGAACTAGAACTGAACTAGAACTGAACTAGAACTGAACTAGAACTGAACTAGAACTGAACTAGAACTGAACTAGAACTGAACTAGAACTGAACTAGAACTGAACTAGAACTAAACTGAACTAGAACTGAACTAGAACTGAACTAGAACTGAACTAGAACTGAACTAGAACTAGAACTGAACTAGAACTGAACTAGAACTAGAACTAGAACTGAACTTGAACTGGAACTGAACTAGAACTGAACTTGAACTGGAACTGAACTAGAACTGAACTAGAACTGAACTAGAACTGAACTAGAACTGAACTAGAACTGAACTAGAACTGAACTAGAACTGAACTAGAACTGAACTAGAACTGAACTAGAACTGAACTAGAACTGAACTAGAACTGAACTAGAACTGAACTAGAACTGAACTAGAACTGAACTAGAACTGAACTAGAACTGAACTAGAACTGAACTAGAACTGAACTAGAACTGAACTAGAACTGAACTAGAACTGAACTAGAACTGAACTAGAACTGAACTAGAACTGAACTAGAACTGAACTAGAACTGAACTAGAACTGAACTAGAACTGAACTAGAACTGAACTAGAACTGAACTAGAACTGAACTAGAACTGAACTAGAACTGAACTAGAACTGAACTAGAACTGAACTAGAACTGAACTAGAACTGAACTAGAACTGAACTAGAACTGAACTAGAACTGAACTAGAACTGAACTAGAACTGAACTAGAACTGAACTAGAACTGAACTAGAACTGAACTAGAACTGAACTAGAACTGAACTAGAACTGAACTAGAACTGAACTAGAACTGAACTAGATCTGAACTAGAACTGAACTAGAACTGAACTAGAACTGAACTAGAACTGAACTAGAACTGAACTAGAACTGAACTAGAACTGAACTAGAACTGAACTAGAACTGAACTAGAACTGAACTAGAACTGAACTAGAACTGAACTAGAACTGAACTAGAACTGAACTAGAACTGAACTAGAACTGAACTAGATCTGAACTAGAACTGAACTAGAACTGAACTAGAACTGAACTAGAACTGAACTAGAACTGAACTAGAACTGAACTAGAACTGAACTAGAACTGAACTAGAACTGAACTAGAACTGAACTAGAACTGAACTAGAACTGAACTAGAACTGAACTAGAACTGAACTAGAACTGAACTAGAACTAGAACTGAACTAGAACTGAACTAGAACTGAGCTAGAACTGAACTAGAACTGAACTAGAACTGAACTAGAACTGAACTAGAACTGAACTAGAACTGAACTAGAACTGAACTAGAACTGAACTAGAACTGAACTAGAACTGAACTAGAACTGAACTAGAACTGAACTAGAACTGAACTAGAACTGAACTAGAACTGAACTAGAACTGAACTAGAACTGAACTAGAACTGAACTAGAACTGAACTAGAACTGAACTAGAACTGAACTAGAACTGAACTAGAACTGAACTAGAACTGAACTAGAACTGAACTAGAACTGAACTAGAACTGAACTAGAACTGAACTAGAACTGAACTAGAACTGAACTAGAACTGAACTAGAACTGAACTAGAACTGAACTAGAACTGAACTAGAACTGAACTAGAACTGAACTATAGAACTGAACTAGAACTGAACTAGAACTGAACTAGAACTGAACTAGAACTGAACTAGGACTGAACTAGAACTGAACTAAAACTGAACTAGAACTGAACTAGAACTGAACTAGAACTGAACTAGAACTAAACTAAAACTTAACTAGAACTGAACTAGAACTGAACTAGAACTGAACTAGAACTGAACTAGAACTGAACTAGAACTGAACTAGAACTGAACTAGAACTGAACTAGAACTGAACTAGAACTGAACTAGAACTAGAACTGAACTAGAACTGAACTAGAACTGAACTAGAACTGAACTAGAACTGAACTAGAACTAGAACTGAACTAGAACTGAACTAGAACTAGAACTAGAACTGAACTTGAACTGGAACTGAACTAGAACTGAACTTGAACTGGAACTGAACTAGAACTGAACTGAACTAGAACTGAACTAGAACTGAACTAGAACTGAACTAGAACTGAACTAGAACTAACTGAACTAGAACTGAGCTAGAACTGAACTAGAACTGAACTAGAACTGAACTAGAACTGAACTAGAACTGAACTAGAACTGAACTAGAACTGAACTAGAACTGAACTAGAACTGAACTAGAACTGAACTAGAACTGAGCTAGAACTGAACTAGAACTGAACTAGAACTGAACTAGAACTGAACTAGAACTGAACTAGAACTGAACTAGAACTGAACTAGAACTGAACTAGAACTGAACTAGAACTGAACTAGAACTGAACTAGAACTGAACTAGAACTGAACTAGAACTGAACTAGAACTGAACTATAGAACTGAACTAGAACTGAACTAGAACTGAACTAGAACTGAACTAGAACTGAACTAGGACTGAACTAGAACTGAACTAAAACTGAACTAGAACTGAACTAGAACTGAACTAGAACTGAACTAGAACTAAACTAAAACTTAACTAGAACTTAACTAGAACTGAACTAGAACTGAACTAGAACTGAACTAGAACTGAACTAGAACTGAACTAGAACTGAACTAGAACTGAACTAGAACTGAACTAGAACTGAACTAGAACTGAACTAGAACTGAACTAGAACTGAACTAGAACTGAACTAGAACTGAACTAGAACTGAACTAGAACTGAACTAGAACTGAACTAGAACTGAACTAGAACTGAACTAGAACTGAACTAGAACTGAAGAACTGAACTAGAACTGAACTAGAACTGAACTAGAACTGAACTAGAACTGAACTAGAACTGAACTAGAACTGAACTAGAACTAGAACTGAACTAGAACTGAACTAGAACTGAACTAGAACTGAACTAGAACTGAACTAGAACTGAACTAGAACTGAACTAGAACTGAACTAGATCTGAACTAGAACTGAACTAGAACTGAACTAGAACTGAACTAGAACTAACTAGAACTGAACTAGAACTGAACTAGAACTGAACTAGAACTGAACTAGAACTGAACTAGAACTGAACTAGAACTGAACTAGAACTGAACTAGAACTGAACTAGAACTGAACTAACTGAACTAGAACTGAACTAGAACTGAACTAGAACTGAACTAGAACTGAACTAGAACTGAACTAGAACTGAACTAGAACTGAACTAGAACTGAACTAGAACTGAACTAGAACTGAACTAGAACTGAACTAGAACTGAACTAGAACTGAACTAGAACTGAACTAGAACTGAACTAGAACTGAACTAGAACTGAACTAGACTAAACTGAACTAGAACTGAACTAGAACTGAGCTAGAACTGAACTAGAACTGAACTAGAACTGAACTAGAACTGAACTAGAACTGAACTAGAACTGAACTAGAACTGAACTAGAACTGAACTAGAACTGAACTAGAACTGAACTAGAACTGAACTAGAACTGAACTAGAAGAATGAACTAGAACTGAACTAGAACTGAACTAGACTGAACTAGAACTGAACTAGAACTGAACTAGAACTGAACTGAACTAGAACTGAACTAGAACTGAACTAGAACTGAACTAGAACTGAACTAGAACTGAACTAGAACTGAACTAGAACTGAACTAGAACTGAACTAGAACTGAACTAGAACTGAACTAGAACTGAACTAGAACTGAACTAGAACTGAACTAGAACTGAACTAGAACTGAACTAGAACTGAACTAGAACTGAACTAGAACTGAACTATAGAACTGAACTAGAACTGAACTAGAACTGAACTAGAACTGAACTAGAACTGAACTAGGACTGAACTAGAACTGAACTAAAACTGAACTAGAACTGAACTAGAACTGAACTAGAACTGAACTAGAACTAAACTAAAACTAACTAGAACTGAACTACTGAACTAGAACTGAACTAGAACTGAACTGAACTAACTGAACTAGAACTGAACTAGAACTGAACTAGGATAACGCCCCCATCGAAAAATATGTGTTACTGTAGCACTGTAGTCTATATGCATATTTATTTAAATAATATTACATTAATCAACAAATGAGTGAAATTATTGATGCAATTCCATATATTTTCCAAATGACTAATAAAAAAAGTTGTCATATGTAGGTGATGACGTTTAAAAAAAGGGGATGTTATTTAAAACAACCATCATCACCTGGAGTAAACGAGTAGAAGCCCCCAACACAAATATTTAGTTGAAAATCAAAGTTTAGTGAAGCAAATTGTTATAATTTTGTTTATCAACTTTTTTCATATACATACTTATAGTAATTGTTGATAAGGTGAAAAAACGTTAGAGAATTTTAACTCACGCAAAAAAATATAACAATTGTTAAATCAACAAAAAGTTAAGAATTTAGTATAACAACGATGTGGGTTAGCGAAAGAGGGTTGTGAACGAAATAATGGTGAATAAAATAATTATTAAAAAATATTAAATAAATAATTAATAGATATTAAAAGCAACAAACGAAAAATGTCGACTATTTTGAAATTATTTTTTATAACAACAATATTTGCTAAAAGTATTCTAATAAAAGCAGGTGTGTTAATTTGTGTATTAAAAAAAATAAATAAATTAATTGTTTAACAAAAAAATGTGCTCTTTTTATATAACTTCAAAGAAAATCCCTGTATTAATGAAGATACTTGCAAGGGTTGTTTAAGTGCCGATATTTCCTGTGCCTGGTGTACGGATAAGGTGAATAAAAATAGAAAGAAAATTAAAAATATTGAAATTTAAATAAAAAAATATATTCGATTAGCTATACGAATTACGTTATCGTTGCCTTAATCGTACTCAATATGGAGCATGGCTGTCATAACGATCATATTTATGAAAATGAACCGGAGTTCCATACTCTAACCAATGTCGATCTTAAGGATTATGAATTAAGCAATAATCGGGCAGTGCAGGTGCAGCCTCAGAGAGTTTATTTAAAATTAGTTAAATGTAAGTTTTTTTAATTTTTAATTTGCGATTTATATTAAGTAATTAATAATTAGAAAACTTACTCATTATATATACATATATATTTTTTTCTATGGTTATGAATTTAATCGTCGTATCGGTTAAGATAAGATATCTAAGGTCCAATGTTATCTATTGGTTATAGTTTGTTATTTTGTTGTATTTGTATAGTTTAGTTTTTTTTTTTTTTTTAACTCAGCACTCTACAATAGACTTTTAATTTTCGACCACTTTAAGAAACATTCTAACCGTTATTCAGCGCGCATACAGGAATGTAATGTATATTTACGCAGACTTGAATATTTAAAACTAACAAAAATATGAAGCAATTAAAAATATATTGAATTATTCCCTAGAAATTCTATAAAATATTTTAATCTAAATAAGCAAAATCGGCACGTATTCTCATCGTCAATAGTGACTATATACGATTCGTCATCACCAGCTATATTACCATAGAGATACGGTAGGTTCATTTCTTATCTCAAAATATTTGTAAAATATTCTTGTAGTAGACCAACAAACAAAACAAAAAATTAAACTACTGTTTACTCATTCATAGGCCTTTTGGGGTTTGTATGTCATCAGCCCACTTGGTGTAGAAATAAATACATACATACGTTCGTACATAAATATTTTTTCATGTACAATTTGTTTACATTTTAAAATTTGTCAAGACATTAACTGTTAACACTTTACTCTCGTTAGCGGGTTGAAGAGATCTTATCATCTTGTGGGGGAAATACATACAACTACAACATGATGCAAAAACAAATATTTCAGTGTAAATAATTTGACAAAACGACAGATGTGTGTTATAGACAAATGTTTTAATTAAACAGAAAATAAAACGGTAATTTAAAGGGTAGTAATGGGTATTTAACACTACATATCGATCGGTATCGATTTCGGTTTGTACTTCATGAGACAAATGTAACTGAAAGGTATTCTAAAGGCTAGAACTGAAGTAGAATTGAATTGACTGAATTAGAGACCGAACTAGAACTGATACATTATGAACTGAACTAGAACTGACTAGAACTGAACTAGAACTGCAACTAGAACTGAACTAGAACTGAACTAAAACTGAACTAGAACTGAACTAGAACTGACTATGAACTAGAAGCTAACTGAACTAGAACTGAACTAGAACTGAACTAGAACTGAACTAGAACTGAACTAGAACTGAACTAGAACTGAACTAGAACTGAACTAGAACTGAACTAGAGCTGAACTAGAACTGAACTAGAAGTGAACTAGAAGTGAACTAGAAGTGAACTAGAACTGAACTAGAACTGAACTAGAACTGAACTAAAACTGAACTAAAACTGAACTAGAACTGAACTAGAACTGAACTAGAACTGAACTTGAACTGAAATATTACTGAACTAGAACTGAAATAGATCTGAACTAGAACTGAACTAGAATTGAACTAGAACTGAACTAGAACTGAACTAGAACTAAACTAGAACTGAACTAGAACTGAACTAGAACTGAACTAGAACTGAACTAGAACTGAACTAGAATTGAACTAGAAATGAACTAGAACTGAACTAGAACTGAACTGAACTGGAACTGAACTAGAACTGAACTAGAACTGAACTAGAACTGAACTAGAACTGAACTAGAACTGAACTAGAACTGAACTAGAACTGAACTAGAACTGAACTAGAACTGAACTAGAACTGAACTAGAACTGAACTAGAACTGAACTAGAACTGAACTAGAACTGAACTAGAACTGAACTAGAACTGAACTAGAACTGAACTAGAACTGAACTAGAACTGAACTAGAACTGAACTAGAACTGAACTAGAACTGAACTTGAACTGAACTAGAACTGAACTAGAACTGAACTAGAACTGAACTAGAACTGAACTAGAACTGAACTAGAACTGAACTAGAACTGAACTAGAACTGAACTAGAACTGAACTAGAACTGAACTAGAACTGAACTAGAACTAGAACTGAACTAGAACTGAACTGGAACTGAACTGAACTAGAAGTGAACTAGAACTGAACTAGAACTGAACTAGAACTGAACTAGAACTGAACTAGAACTGAACTAGAACTGAACTAGAACTGAACTAGAACTGAACTAGAACAGAACTAGAACTGAACTAGAACTGAACTAGAACTGAACTAGAACTGAACTAGATCTGAACTAGAACTGAACTAGAAACTGAACTAGAACTGAACTAGAACTGAACTAGAACTGAACTAGAACTGAACTAGAACTGAACTAGAACTGAACTTGAACTGAAATATTACTGAAATATTACTGAACTAGAACTGAACTAGAACTGAACTAGAACTGAACTAGAACTAAACTAGAACTAAACTAGAACTGAACTAGAACTGAACTAGAACTGAACTAGAACTGAACTAGAACTGAACTAGAACTGAACTAGAACTGAACTAGAACTGAACTAGAACTGAACTAGAACTGAACTAGAACTGAACTAGAACTGAACTAGAACTGAACTAGAACTGAGCTAGAACTGAACTAGAACTGAACTAGAACTGAACTAGAACTGAACTAGAACTTAACTAGAACTGAACTAGAACTGAACTAGAACTGAACTAGAACTGAACTAGAACTGAACTAGAACTGAACTAGAACTGAACTAGAACTGACCTATAACTGAACTAGAAATGAACTAGAACTGAACTAAATGAACTAGAAACTATAACTGAACCTAGAACTGAACTAGAACTGAACTAAGAACTGAACTAGAACTGAACTAGAACTGAAACTAGAAACTGAACTAGAACTGAACTAGAACTGAACATAAGACTTGAACTAAACTGAACTAGAACTTGAAACTAGAACTGAAACTAGAACTGAACTAGAAACTGAAAACTAGAACTGAACTAGAACTGAACTAGAAATGAACTAGAACTGAACTAGAACTGAACTAGAACTGAACTAAACTGAACTAGAAACTGAACCTAGAACTGAACTAGAACTGAACTAGAACTAGAACTGAACTGAACTTGAACTAGAACCTGAACTAGAACTGAAACTAGAACTCTGAACTAGAACTGAACTAGAACTTGAACTAGAACGAAACTAGAACTTGAAACTAGAACTGAACTAGAAACTGAACTAGAACTGAACTAGAACGGAACTAGAACGAACTAGAACTGAACTAGAACTGAACGAGAAACGGAACTAGAACTGAACTAGAACTTGAACTAGAACTGAACTAGAACTGAACTAGAACTGAACTAGAACTAGAACTGAACTAGAACTGAACTAGAACTCAACTAAACTGAACTAGAACTGAACTAGAACTGAACTAGAACTGAACTAGAACTGAACTAGAAACTAGAACTGAACTAGAACTGAACTAGAACTGAACTAGAACTGAACTAGAACTGAACTAGAACTGAACTAGAACTGAACTAGAACTGAACTAGAACTGAACTAGAACTGAACTAGAACTGAACTAGAACTGAACTAGAACTGAACTAGAAACTGAACTAGAACTGAACTAGAACTGAACTAGAACTGAACTAGAACTGAACTAGAACTGAACTAGAACTAGAACTGAACTAGAACTGAACTAGAACTGAACTAGAACTGAACTAGAACTGAACTAGAACTGAACTAGAACTGAACTAGAACTGAACTAGAACTGAACTAGAACTGAACTAGAACTGAACTAGAACTGAACTAGAACTGAACTAGAACTGAACTAGAACTGAACTAGAACTGAACTAGAACTGAACTAGAACTGAACTAGAACTGAACTAGAACTGAACTAGAACTGAACTAGAACTGAACTAGAACTGAACTAGAACTGAACTAGAACTGAACTAGAACTGAACTAGAACTGAACTAGAACTGAACTAAAGAACTAGAAACTGAACTAGAACTGAAACTGAACTAGAACTGAACTAGAACTGAACTAGAACTGAACTAGAACTGAACTAGAACTGAACTAGAACTGAACTAGAACTGAACTAGAACTGAACTAGAATTGAACTAGAACTGAACTAGAATTGAACTAGAACTGAACTAGAACTGAACTAGAACTGAACTAGAACTGAACTAGAACTGAACTAGAACTGAACTAGAACTGAACTAGAACTGAACTAGAACTGAACTAGAACTGAACTAGAACTGAACTAGAACTGAACTAGAACTGAACTAGAACTGAACTAGAACTGAACTAGAACTGAACTAGAACTGAACTAGAACTGAACTAGAACTGAATTAGAATTGAACTATATTTAATTATATCATTCTTCTTTATATCCCTTTTAGCCCATCCCGAACGTATTAAACTCTCTTATCGTCCAGCACGTAATAATCCTCTCGATCTTTATGTACTTATGGATCTAACCTGGACCATGAGAGACGATCGGGAAACACTAGTCAAGTTGGGTTCGGAATTAGCTACCACTCTCAGAAATTTAACTTCTAATTATCGTTTGGGTTTTGGTAGTTTTGCCGATAAACCAGAAATGCCTATGATAATGCCACATCTAAAAGATAATCCCTGTGCCACCGAAAGGCAAGTGTGTGAACCCACATATGGTTATAGACATCATTTAACACTGACCGAAGATGAAAAACTATTTGTAAGATCTGTTAATGGTAGTAAAGTAACGGGTAATTTGGATAATTTGGAGGGAGGTTTCGATGCTTTAATGCAAGTGTTGGTTTGTCCAAAAGAGATCGGATGGAAAGAAGAGGCCCGTAAGGTGGTTATTTTGGTAACCGATGGTTTTATGCATTTTGCGGGAGATGGTCTATTAGCGGGTATTACCAAACGTAATGATAAAAAATGTCATTTAAATGCGCAAGGCGAATATTTGGGTTCTTTGGAATACGATTATCCCTCATTGGAGGAAATCTATAGAGAATTAGTGAAGAGGAAAATAAGTGTAATTTTTGCGGTAACAGAGGAGGTGGTTACTACTTATAGGGAGATAAGTAATCTAATGAAGGAAATAAGTAATGTAGAGATTTTGAGAGCAGATTCGTCTAATATTTTGGAATTGATAAAGAAAAGGTATGTTGTAATAAGTAAGAGCAAATTACATACCTAGATCTAATATTTTTTTTTCTTTGTATAGTTACGAGAGTTTTATCAAACGCACCCAATTTACTGACAATAGTCCCGATTTTATAAAAATGGAGTATGAGACAGATTGTGGTGGCCAGTTTCCGACTTTAAGAAAACGCAACTATTGCAATAATGTGGAATTGGGTAAGACTGTGGACTTTTATATCAACGTTACTCTCACCGATTTTCCCGACAATGGAGTTTATGTAAGTTTTAAGGATTTCAGATACTTTTTGTACTATTGATTTTTAACATAATCTTTAAATTATTCCGAACATTAAATTAGTAGCTGGGATTAAAAACGATCAAGATATTTAAAATCCACATATTAATTCCAGATTCATAAAATACGCGTGGAAGAATCAGCTTTAAATGAGTTCATGGAAATTGAAGTGGAAATACAAAAACCTTGCCCTTGTCTTGAAGACGCAGATCCTGAGGATGAATATGGTCGATTTCAGTGCAACGAAAATGGTTTTCTGCAATGCGGCATGTGTCAATGTGATGCAGGATGGTAAATATTCACTTATACTTTCGAAATGAATTTAAAATAATTTTTTTTATAAGGACTGGCACCTTTTGTACTTGCCCCACCGATGCTACCAATGCCACCACAAACGAAGCCATTGAAAATCTTTGTCGGCAACCCTTTGATTTGGTTAATTCCCAGGAATTGGGACCCGTTTGTTCGAATCGTGGTGAATGTGATTGTGGCTCGTGTTTTTGTGCCCCTGGTTTTAATGGCAAATTCTGTGAGTGTCCTGAGTGCGATATTGACTGTGATCCCGAGAGGGCCGATTGCGTGTGTGGAAAATGCATTTGCAAATATGGTTGGTCGGGAAATCGCTGCAACTGTAAAGAGAGTACAGATGGCTGTATCGGTCCTACAGGAGAAATTTGTTCTGGTCGGGGCTATTGTGAGTGTGGCGAGTGTTTGTGTAATGATCCATATGTGGGTAAATTTTGTGAAATTGGTTCAGAAACTGAAAATAAACTGTGCGCATTCTATGAGCCTTGTGTGACCTGCCTGATCGAAGAGAAAACCGATATGGGTAAATGTGAGAAGACAACGGAAATATGTTCTAGTGCCGAGAAAAATGAAAGATTTACAACGGCCTTTGTAACCGAAGAAATAGGTAATAAGCCTTAACATTCAAAATTCAAAAAAAAATAATTAATATCTTTAAAACAGACTCCGATATACGCTGTTTAGCTCGTGTGGAAAATAAATTTGGCATCAAGTGTGACCACTATTTTACCTATCAGACCATGGGTCAATCCGAGAACTATTTACTTATACAACTTAACAGTTGTGAACCTGTAAATTATGTGGCGGTAGTAGGTTTTGTGTCTGTCGCCACATTCATTTTGGGTTTACTCTTGATTCTTATCATTTGGGCTTGTATACGTGCTAAAGATGCTCGTGAATACGCCCGTTTTGAGGAGGATCAACGTAACAGTTACCTAATGGAGAGCCCTATTTATAGGGATCCCATTAGTAGATATATAGTACCGAAAGAAGTTAATCGTAAACAAAGCAATCCATTTTTATAATTATTTAGAATAAGCAAAAGAATGACAATAAACTATTTAGTTAAGATAAACATCATTTGGGAAAACGTCGTTTAAATAATCTTTGGAACTACTAATTTTTCCATTTATATCCAAGAACTGAACCATAGAACGCATATTCGGTTCGAAAACAATATTCATAAGAACAAAACCTGAATCTAAACTGTAACTGAACCAGAACTGAACAGAATTGAACTAGAAAACTGAACTAGAACTGAACTAGAACTGAACCAGAACTGAACTAGAACTGAACTAGAACTGAACTAGAACTGAAAAAGAACTGAACTAGAACTGAACTAGAAAAACTGAACTGAACTAGAACTAAACTAGAACTGAACTAGAGAACTGAACTAGAACTGAACTAGAACTGAACTAGAACTGAACTAGAACGAACTAGAACTGAACTAGAACTGAACTAGAACTGAACTAGAACTGAACTAGAACTGAACTAGAACTGAACTAGAACTGAACTAGAACTGAACTAGAACTGAACTAGAACTGAACTAGAACTGAACTAGAACTGAACTAGAACTGAACTAGAACTGAACTAGAACTGAACTAGAACTGAACTAGAACTGAACTAGAACTGAACTAGAACTGAACTAGAACTGAACTAGAACTGAACTAGAACTGAACTAGAACTGAACTAGAACTGAACTAGAACTGAACTAGAACTGAACTAGAACTGACTAGAACTGACTATAACTGAACTAGAACTGAACTAGAACGTGAACTAGAACTGAACTAGAACTGAACTAGAACTGAACTAGAACTGAACTAGAACTGAACTAGAACTGAACTAGAACTGAACTAGAACTGAACTAGAACTGACTAGGAACTGAACTAGAACTGAACTAGAACTGAACTAGAACTGAACTAGAACTAGAACTGAACTAGAACTGAACTAGAAATGAAAACTAGAACTGAACTAGAACTGAACTAGAACTGAACTAGAAACTGAACTAGAACTGAACTAGAACTGAAAACTAGAACTGAACTAGAACTGAAACAGAACTGAACTAGAACTGAACTAGAACTGAACTAGAACTGAACTAGAACTGAACTAGAACTGAACTAGAAACTGAACTAGAACTGAACTAGAACTGAACTAGAACAAATCTGAACTGAACTAGAACTGAACTAGAACTGAACTAGAACTGAACTAGAACTGAACTAGAACTGAACTAGAACTGAACTAGAACTGAACTAGAACTGAACTAGAACTGAACTAGAACTGAACTAGAACTGAACTAGAACTGAACTAGAACTGAACTAGAACTGAATTGGAACTGAACTAGAACTGAACTAGAACTGAACTAGAACTGAACTAGAACTGAACTAGAACTGAACTAGAACTGAACTAGAACTGAACTAGATCTGAACTAGAACTGAACTAGAACTGAACTAGAACTGAACTAGAACTGTACTAGAACTTAGCTTGAACTGAAATAGAACAGAACGACTACAGAAATAGAACTGATTTGATCGAGGACTTAAGCAAAAAATAGCTTGTTTAATTAAATTTTTTTATATATATTTTTTTAATTTTTATTTTGTATAATATTTTTTTAATAAACATGACATTATATAAAATACATTAGTAAGGTAAATATTTATATCAAGTGGTTTTAAAATGTTTAAATGTTGATATTTGGGGTATAGGATTTGGAATAGGCAATACATAAGGGGAAAATAAGGGTTATAGGAGCTATAGGGGTGGAGGAGTTTGGAAGAGGATTTAGGTTATGGGAATGTGGATATTTGTTAAATGCTGGGATAAGGATTAGGGGAATAGGGGAATATAAGTATGTGGGGTTTAGGATTTTTTTTTATACTTTAGCCCATTTTTATATAATTAATATTATGTGTTAAATTATCAACTTACACCCAAAAAAATATACAAACATAATATTAACACAAGTGTAGTTTTTTTATATATGAAAACCCCTGATTTTTTAACTCATTAAAATTATTTGTATATATTTTATTTGTTATTATTTTTATGTTAATATCACTAACAAAACTTATTTGTAAATTATACAAGGAAATATGTAGAAAAGTGTATAAAAAGGAAATATTTGAAGGTTTAAGGACACGAAAAATGTTTAGGATTTATAAGATAAAATATAGAAATGATCACAGTTTAGATTTTATTCAAAATGTCAGACAATTATAGAGACAAAATAAAAGATGAGGTGAAAGTGATTAATATACATAATTCTACAATAATCACAATTTATGCAAATGGCATTGTTAGTCAATATTTTTTTTTTTTTTAAATTCAAGATGAAAATAAATGTTTTTATTATAATCCTTTGTCTCCTTAGCATACTTCCTTTTTAAAACTCTTAAAACAATTTCTTTATAAATTTTGTCTAACTACAACTAAAATAACTAAAATTAAACTATTTTAAAAAATACAAGAAAAGAAACATTATTTAAAAAATAATTAAAAATATGCCAATTTAATAAATAAAAAGCACGTAAAAATTAGAAATAAAAAAAAAACTTATTTAACTAAACCTCTTAGGTGTGTTCCTAGCCTAATAGACTTAAATGACTAAAAAATGGTAAAAACAAATAAAAGTATTAGAAATCACTAAACTAGGTATTTTATGTACAGTTTAATTTATAAAACACGTTCGCCCAGCGAAGGAGAACGTTGTATAAGTAATGAACCCGCTTTAGTTAAGGGCTCCTTAAACACATTACTGCCGATGTCTGTAATTATGGGAGCGGGTGAAATTAGAACAGGTGACGGTTTAGAGAATGAAGATTTTTTATAAAAGTTGAGAAGAGATTTCTGAGCTAAACCGTGAGGTGAAGCATCGGGTACTAGACGTCTGAGCAGACCAGCAATACAACCCCAAGGGAAGGTCCTTTTTAGAGAGAAGGATAAGAGAAATATTTTTATATAAAGTGTATAATTAGTTGCAATATGTTTGTACTTACCACTTGAAGGAGAGTAATAATTTAATGTAACCGGGAATTATGGCAATTTTTTCATTCTTCTGAATAGCAGTTATGACACGATCAGCTACATCATTGGGATTGAGAGTGGGCACCCAGCTATATAAGAGAATATAAAGAAACAGTTAGTGGATGTAAAAGTTTAAAACACATACATTTACATTTCTTCAATGAAATAATGTTTATAAAGTCTTTTCTCATATGGATTTAATGGACTAAATCCGAACCAGATATAAACAAGAACAGAACTAGAACAAAACTAGAACTAGAACAGAACTAGAACAAAACTAGAGCAAAACTAGAACAGAACTAGAAGAGAACTAGGACAGAACTAAAACAGAACTAGAACAGAATTAGAACAGAACTAGAACAGAACTAGAACAGAACTAGAACAGAACTAGAACATAACTAGAACAGAACTAGAACAGAACTAGAACACAACTAGAACACAACTAGAACAGAACTAGAACAGAACTAGAACAGAACTAGAACAGAACTAGAACAGAACTAGAACAGAACTAGAACAGAACTAGAACAGAACTAGAACAGAACTAGAACAGAACTAGAACAGAACTAGAACAGAACTAGAACAGAACTAGAACAGAACTAGAACAGAACTAGAACAGAACTAGAACAGAACTAGAACAGAACTAGAACAGAACTAGAACAGAACTAGAACAGAACTAGAACAGAACTAGAACAGAACTAGAACAGAACTAGAACAGAACTAGAACAGAACTAGAACAGAACTAGAACAGAACTAGAACAGAACAGAACTAGAACAGAACTAGAACAGAACTAGAACAGAACTAGAACAGAACTAGAACAGAACTAGAACAGAACTAGAACAGAACTAGAACAGAACTAGAACAGAACTAGAACAGAACTAGAACAGAACAGAACTAGAACGGAACTAGAACAGAACTAGAACAGAACTAGAACAGAAATAGAACAGACCTAGAACAGAACTAGAACAGAACTAGAACAGAACTAGAACAGAACTAGAACAGAACTAGAACAGAACTAGAACAGAACTAGAACAGAACTAGAACAGAACTAGAACAGAACTAGAACAGAACTAGAACAGAACTAGAACAGAACTAGAACAGAACTAGAACAGAACTAGAACAGAACTAGAACAGAACTAGAACAGAACTAGAACAGAACTAGAACAGAACTAGAACAGAACTAGAACAGAACTAGAACAGAACTAGAACAGAACTAGAACAGAACTAGAACAGAACTAGAACAGAACTAGAACAGAACTAGAACAGAACTAGAACAGAACTAGAACAGAACTAGAACAGAACTAGAACAGAACTAGAACAGAACTAGAACAGAACTAGAACAGAACTAGAACAGAACTAGAACAGAACTAGAACAGAACTAGAACAGAACTAGAACAGAACTAGAACAGAACTAGAACAGAACTAGAACAGAACTAGAACAGAACTAGAACAGAACTAGAACAGAACTAGAACTAGAACAGAACTAGAACAGAACTAGAACAGAACTAGAACAGAACTAGAACAGAACTAGAACAGAACTAGAACAGAACTAGAACAGAACTAGAACAGAACTAGAACAGAACTAGAACAGAACTAGAACAGAACTAGAACAGAACTAGAACAGAACTAGAACAGAACTAGAACAGAACTAGAACAGAACTAGAACAGAACTAGAACAGAACTAGAACAGAACTAGAACAGAACTAGATCTAAACAGAACTGAACAAGTTACAAGAAAAATATTCAAAAAACAATAAAAATTTTGTATAAAAGATCTTGTTAGAGATCTCCTAAGATTAATTACATATGTGTGTATGCATTTGTTTTCTATATTTTAATTACCGTGCATTAACATCATCAAACATGCCAGTCTGTTGTATAAAGAATGGACATACACAGGTTGTCTGAATATTTGTATGACCAAGGACTTCAAGTTCTAAACGCAATGCTTCATCAAAGCCCACCTTTAAATAGAAATATAAACAGAAAAACAAGTATAAATTAATAAGAAAAACTAAATATAAATTAAAACTTGTAATAAAAATATTGCACAACAAATACAAATGTTTAAAAAAATCCACTTACAGCTGCAAATTTACTAGCACAATAGTCAACCAATTTGGTTATACCAACATGACCAGCTAATGAAGCAATGGTGGCGATATGACCACGTTGATTCTCAATCATTTTGGGTAGAAAAGCTTTGGTAGTCTGAAAACCGTAGGAAAACGAAAAAAATAAATAGAAATAAATACGCAAGGTTAACTAGAATTTGTTAAAATATATATTGCAAAATACTATTAAAAAAGTTCGTTAGAGCATGTACACAAATGTTTAACTAACATTTAAACGGCTAAATGAACAAAATATACGAAAATTTTTAAAAACTTACCCAAAAGTGTGCCATTACATTTACATTAAACGAACGTTCAATTAAATGATCAGGGGTATCAAGCAAATGCAGACCCGACACTACGCCAGCATTATTGATCAGCAAAGAAACCTGTAATGTTAATCAAGCAAAAACAAAAAGAACCAAAAATATTAGCTTCTAATTTTGTAACCAAAAAGTATTAAATATTTATTTAAAAGAATTGCAAAATCTTATAAGAATTTTCATGTTAAAACATTAAACTAACATATCAGTGTTTGTGTTAGTTAATATTTATTAAATAATGTTGAAATTTGACACCTTGATTAATGTTTTAGGGGCATTTTCGGTTAAATTTGGTAATGATACTTTTAGTTTATTTGGGGGGGAAATATTTGCTAAAAGAATTGCTCAATTACAGTCAAAACAAGAATTTGTTGCCAATTTGTCGAATTTGTGTACCAGAAGTTGTTTAGAATGTTGGAAGTTGCAACATTTTCGTTATAACAAATTTTAATGGAAAATTTTATATGTGGTTTAGATTAATTCTACGATAATGGAAAATAGTATTAAAACTTATTCAAATTTGATTTCTTAATCACGTTTACATAATATTTACCAAACATTGTTTAACATTATGTATTAGAAGAGCACCAACTCAAAAGTCAACTTATAAAAGTTATAGGAACAAGTTTCAGTATCGAACTGAACTAGAACTGAACTAGAACTGAACTAGAACTGAACTAGAACTGAACTAGAACTGAACTAGAACTGAACTAGAACTGAACTAGAACTGAACTAGAACTGAACTAGAACTGAACTAGAAGTGAACTAGAACTGAACTAGAACTGAACTAGAAGTGAACTAGAACTGAACTAGAACTGAACTAGAACTGAACTAGAACTGAACTAGAACTGAACTAGAACTGAACTAGAACTGAACTAGAACTGAACTAGAACTGAACTAGAACTGAACTAGAACTGAACTAGAACTGAACTAGAACTGAACTAGAACTGAACTAGAACTGAACTAGAACTGAACTAGAACTGAACTAGAACTGAACTAGATCTGAACTAGAATTGAACTAGAACTGAACTAGAACTAAACTAGAACTGAACTAGAACTGAACTAGAACTGAACTAGAACTGAACTAGAACTGAACTAGAACTGAACTAGAACTGAACTAGAACTGAACTAGAACTGAACTAGAACTGAACTAGAACTGAACTAGAACTGAACTAGAACTAGAACTGAACTAAAACTGAACTTCAGTTCTAGTACTGACATAAAACTGAACTTATCTGAAACTGACATAGAACATAACTGGAAAGCTGCATTAACCAGTTTTTAAATCAAAATTAAGTTAAGAAATTTTTGAAAAAATTTTTTTGAATGAATGAATGAATTCATTTTCTTAAAACCAATAAAACCTGTTAGGATCAAAGTACAAATTGAATTATAATTTAATTTATAGAATTCAATTAATAATTAAAAACGCAAAAAACCATAACCTGTCATATTTAGCAAAATCTATTAAAAAATGCTGACATACATACATATCAGTTGGCATTAGAAACTTGAATGTTTGTTCACAATTTTGATTATCTACTTTATGAACAAATACTCGACATTTATTGCATTATTCAAAAATGTACTAAAATTGAACCCAAGAACTTGTATCTTTCTAAATTATATAAATGGTAATTGCTCATCTTGAAAATCAACTACCATTCCTGTAATATTGGTAAGGTTGGTAAGCAAAATATGCCTCCTGTAGCGTTCACAAAAACTAAATATCATGTTTTCAAAACCAACCCTCAATTGCACTTGAGGCGATGATATCTTTTTAAATATGCCTCCTATATGTCATCAAATCATTCGTGTCAAACAACAATTGAAAAATTTAACACATATGTAATTATTTTACTACAAGTTTAATAAGTATTACTTAAAAAATTTAATAATATACAATTTTAAATATTTCTTTTTTTAATTTTTTTTATTTAATAAATTTTGCAACTAACTATGTTTGTAGTATACTACACTTGTTGCAAGTTTTTTGTTATTGTTGCTACTTAATATTGCTGGTTACTAGTTGTTGTGTTAATGAAATTAACAAGTTAAATTTACAAAATATTATTAAGCAAAAAAAATATTGTGGTCATTGACTAATTTATTTTGAATTATTATACTATTTGTATATTTGTTTGTTGAGTTGAATAAATATTTAAAAATACTTAAAAAATATACTTAAGATTTTTGTTAAATGCTACTAGACATTTAGTTACTGCAAATATTGTTATGTTAAATGCCAATTGAGTAATTCAAATAAAATTTGTTAAATACTGTATGCCCAACTTTAGATTAGATAGTAGTATATACATATTATAGACCAAATTATATTTAAAACCATTGACTGGATTGTAATTAAGTTCTAGTTCAGTTCTAGTTCAGTTCTAGTTCAGTTCTAGTTCAGTTCTAGTTCAGTTCTAGTTCAGTTCTAGTTCAGTTCTAGTTCAGTTCTAGTTCAGTTCTAGTTCAGTTCTAGTTCAGTTCTAGTTCAGTTCTAGTTCAGTTCTAGTTCAGTTCTAGTTCAGTTCTAGTTCAGTTCTAGTTCAGTTCTAGTTCAGTTCTAGTTCAGTTCTAGTTCAGTTCTAGTTCAGTTCTAGTTCAGTTCTAGTTCAGTTCTAGTTCAGTTCTAGTTCAGTTCTAGTTCAGTTCTAGTTCAGTTCTAGTTCAGTTCTAGTTCAATTCTAGTTCAGATCTAGTTCAGTTCTAGTTCAGTTCTAGTTCAGTTCTAGTTCAGTTCTAGTTCAGTTCTAGTTCAGTTCTAGTTCAGATCTAGTTCAGTTCTAGTTCAGTTCTAGTTCAGTTCTAGTTCAGTTCTAGTTCAGTTCTAGTTCAGTTCTAGTTCAGTTCTAGTTCAGTTCTAGTTCAGTTCTAGTTCAGTTCTAGTTCAGTTCTAGTTCAGTTCTAGTTCAGTTCTAGTTCAGTTCTAGTTCAGTTCTAGTTCAGTTCTAGTTCAGTTCTAGTTCAGTTCTAGTTCAGTTCTAGTTCAGTTCTAGTTCAGTTCTAGTTCAGTTCTAGTTCAGTTCTAGTTCAGTTCTAGTTCAGTTCTAGTTCAGTTCTAGTTCAGTTCTAGTTCAGTTCTAGTTCAGTTCTAGTTCAGTTCTAGTTCAGTTCTAGTTCAGTTCTAGTTCAGTTCTAGTTCAGTTCTAGTTCAGTTCTAGTTCAGTTCTAGTTCAGTTCTAGTTCAGTTCTAGTTCAGTTCTAGTTCAGTTCTAGTTCAGTCTAGACTATTGTGAATAAATATTTGGCCATAGTAATTAACATATTGGTTTTATTCTTTTAGTATAGGATAGTGTTTATTCGCTACAGTTTTAATTGGCCTCATTATATATGCTTTTAAAAAATAATGTTGGATTTTAGGGTTAAATTATTTCCAATACCAAGTTTGTTTCTTAAGTCTTTTATTATCAGCTAATGAGGATATTAACAGTTGTTAAATGCAAAAGGATCAAGATTTAAAAATCTGATTAAATTACAAGTTTTGAAGTTTTAATTAATAGTGTTATATATTAACAAACTGATAAATGGTAAACATAAAAAGATTTAATCAGTCAGAAAAAATACAGCAAACGTTATGTTGAAAAATTAATTTAAATTTTAAGTTGTTTTTTTTAGCTAAAACTTGATAACATGATACAGCGTGACTTGAAGAGAACTATTTAAAATAAAGCATGTTCAAACCAAAAAAAGAACAATAAAAGAAAGTTATAGGTCAAGGTTGTTAAGTTATAGAGTTTTGGACTTGTAGATTAAGCCTACCCTAACCATAAATTGCGTGCTTATAAATTTCGTGTGTATATTTATGTTTAATAATAATCTTTTTAATTTATTACTTAAATTTCAAAATAAATTTACATATCACGGAGATTTTGACATTTTTCATGCTGTTATGATTTTCGTGTTTTCTTAAACCACATAATAAACTCACAATTTAATATGTTTATTATTATTATTTTTTATATTTTTCTTTTTAAATTGTCTGAATTATGTTATTTAAGTTTAAAGTACACAAGTAATTAAATGAACAATATATATAAAAAAACAATCATAACAAGTCGAGTGTAACATGTTACAATTTTGAACTCATAAACAAAACCACAAAATTTCCTAAGAAATTATTTAAACAAATGAAATACTTACATCACCAACTTCATGTTTTATAACTTCCGCCGCTTGATAGACTTCTTCTTTCTTGGAAATATCCACCACATAACCTTTACAAAAACCACCACATTCTTCCACCATTTTGACAGTCTCATTAATGCCTGAAATAAAGTCACAATTATGTAGAAAACCCTTTTGTAGTTTAATACAAATGCATTCATTAACTAAGTACCTTGTTTATTTATATCCCATATTACTACTTTGGTACCCATTTTAGCCAAGCGTAGTGATAATAGTCTACCCAAACCACTGCCCTCCACCAGTTATTAAAGCAATATCACTGCTCAACTCCTTTTCAGGATAACCAAAGGCTAAATAGTACAAGTCCTGAAAAGAAAAGATAAATATAAAATATTGTAGTAATTGTAAAGAGAAAACTTAATTTTAATGAATTTCTACAGTCTAGTCTAAGTCTAGTCTATAGTCTAGTCTATAGTCTCTATAGTCTAGTCATAGTGTAGTTATATAGTTAGTCTATAGTCTAGTTTATCTAGTCTATAGTCTAGTCTATAGTCTAGTCTATAGTCTAGTCTATAGTCTAGTCTATAGTCTAGTCTATAGTCTAGTCTATAGTCTAGTCTATAGTCTAGTCATAGTCTAGTCTATAGTCTAGTCTATAGTCTAGTCTATAGTCTAGTCTATAGTCTAGTCTATAGTCTAGTCTATAGTCTAGTCTATAGTCTAGTCTATAGTCTAGTCATAGTCTAGTCTATAGTCTAGTCTATAGTCTAGTCTATAGTCTAGTCTATAGTCTAGTCTATAGTCTAGTCTATAGTCTAGTCTATAGTCTAGTCTATAGTCTAGTCTATAGTCTAGTCTATAGTCTAGTCTATAGTCTATATAGTCTATAGTCTAGTCTATAGTCTAGTCTATAGTCTAGTCTATAGTCTAGTCTATAGTCTAGTCTATAGTCTAGTCTATAGTCTAGTCTATAGTCTAGTCTATAGTCTAGTCTATAGTCTAGTCTATAGTCTAGTCTATAGTCTAGTCTATAGTCTAGTCTATAGTCTAGTCTATAGTCTAGTCTATAGTCTAGTCTATAGTCTAGTCTTATCTAGTCTATAGTCTAGTCTATAGTCTAGTCTATAGTCTAGTCTATAGTCTAGTCTATAGTCTAGTCTATAGTCTAGTCTATAGTCTAGTCTATAGTCTAGTCTATAGACTAGACTATAGTCTAGACTATACTAGTCTAGTCTATATCTAGTCTATAGTCTAGTCTATACTAGTCTATAGACTAGTCTAGCTAGCTATAGACTAGACTAGACTAGCTATAGTCTAGTCTATAGTCTAGTATAGTCTTATAGTCTAGTCTATAGTCTAGTCTATAGTCTAGTCTATAGTCTAGTCTATAGTCTAGTCTATAGTCTAGTCTATAGTCTAGTCTATAGTCTAGTCTATAGTCTAGTCTATAGTCTAGTCTATAGTCTAGTCTATAGTCTAGTCTATAGTCTAGTCTATAGTCTAGTCTATAGTCTAGTCTATAGTCTAGTCTATAGTCTAGTCTATAGTCTAGTCTATAGTCTAGTCTATAGTCTAGTCTATAGTCTAGTCTATAGTCTAGTTATAGTCTAGTCTATAGTCTAGTCTATAGTCTAGTCTATAGGTCTAGTCTATAGTCTAGTCTATAGGTCTTAGTCTATTAGTCTAGTCCTATGTCTAGTTTATAGTCTAGTCTCTAGTCTCGTCTATAGTCTAGTCTATTAGTCTAGCTATAGTCTAGTCTATAGTCTATCTATAGTCTAGTCTATAGTCTAGTCTAAGTAGTCTATAGTCTAGTCTATAGTCTAGTCTATAGTTAGTCTATAGTCTAGTCTATAGTCTAGTCTATAGTCTAGTCTATAGTCTAGTCTATAGTCTAGTCTATAGGCTAGTCTATATTCTAGTCTATAGTCTAGTCTATAGTCTAGTATATAGTCTAGTCTATAGTCTAGTCTATAGTCTAGTCTATAGTCTAGTCTATAGTCTAGTCTATATAGCATTTTCTATTTTAGTTTCTAAGTTTACCTTCCAGTCTTCAGTGCAACCAATCTAAAACGCCCTAGTTCGAAATTGGATTTTGATGTCGAATCAGACTAAAAAACATTAAAATTAATTTTACGATAACTTGTCATTTAAAAGTTAAATGACACATTGACATAATTGTCCTTCACTCTTCACATAGATCTACTTAAAAATTATTTACTACAAACAAATTGTTCGAGACAAACCATGGCAACAAATCCAAAAAAGTTAAAATGAAGTAAATAAATCGTAAAAGAAAGAGAAAAAGACAGGCTTTAACTCTTTTTTATTTAAACTAATTTACATAATTTTGTAAATAAGAGCAAAATATTTTGATACACATAAAAAAAAAAAAACTACAAAAAGAAAAAAATTGACCCTGAAAAATTTTTGTTTATATTTGTTGTCGATTTTACTTTATTACAACCTGTTTGAGTTTTGTTAATATAAAACACCAAGTAAGAAAGTAAAGGTTAAGCATAGATGACCATTTGGTGTCCTATAACTGATAGATATATAAGTTTATTTGAAATGACATTCGACAGATGTAGTCATTTGTTGGGGTCATTGCTTACAAGAATAATTAAAAACGTTAGTTTGTTTTCAAGATTTATATGGATTGACAAACAAATGGAAGTATCATTTAATTTGCATAAAGGTGGATGTAAAACACTTCAATTTAGTCTGATGCAAACACTAGCACGAAATAATTACACCACTTTAGTAGTGTAGAGTATAATGCAGAAAAAAAATAACCATAACAAACCGACAGACTCTCGCTTTAATATATTTTTCTTTTATAAATCAGCGCTGACAGGTGAATCTGAAGATTGTAGCTTTAGATATTTTTTGTTTATTTTTAATTTCCATTCAATAAATGCATAAATTTTAACTGCTTATTTTAATATGTGTTAGCATCATATAGTAACGTGATTGTTGTTTTTAGCAAGCATATTGTAGTTCGAATAAGAATTCATTTAAGCACTTCTGACATATGACAACTGTCCCATAAAAATTATCATTAAAAAGGTGTATGTAGTTAGGGTAATGGAAATTCATGTTAACGATAAAATAATTGCTTTTAAAAGGCTTGAAATAATGCAGAAATTACACTGTTGTTAAATTTTAAAAGACGGACAATTGTTGACGAATAAATTGCATGAACGTTACTAATAATATGGAAGGTGATTTAACAAAGGAAGCTGGTGAAATACTTGGAAATGTCAAAGAGCTAAAAAAATGCTCTAGTCTACAGTCTAATCTATAGTCTAGTCTATAGTCTAGTCTATAGTCTCATCTATAGTCTAATCTATAGTCTAATCTATAGTCTAATCTATAGTCTAATCTATAGTCTAATCTATAGGCTAATCTACGGTCTAATCTATAGTCTAATCTATAGTCTAATCTATAGTCTAGTCTATAGTCTAGTCTATAGTCTAATATATAGTCTAATCTATAGTCTAATCTATAGTCTAATCTATAGTCTAATCTATAGTCTAATCTATAGTCTAATCTATAGTCTAATCTATAGTCTAATCTATAGTCTAGTCTATAGTCTAGTCTATAGTCTAGTCTATAGTCTAATCTATAGTCTAATCTATAGTCTAATCTATAGTCTAATCTATAGTCTAATCTATAGACTAGTCTATAGTCTAGTCTATAGTCTAGTCTATAGTCTAGTCTATAGTGTAGTCTATAGTCTAGTCTATAGTCTAGTCTATAGTCTAGTCTATAATCTAGTCTATAGTCTAGTCTATAGTCTAGTCTATAGTCTAGTTTATAGTCTAGTCTATAGTCTAGTCTATAGTATAATCTATAGTCTAATCTATAGTCTAGTTTATAGTCTAGTCTATAGTCTAATCAATAGTCTAATCAATAGTCTAATCTATAGTCTAATCTATAGTCTAATCCATAGTCTAGTCTATAGTCTAATCCATAGTCTAGTCTATAGTCTAGTCTATAGTCTAGTCTATAGTCTAGTCTATAGTCTAGTCTATAGTCTAGTCTATAGTCTAGTCTATAGTCTAGTCTATAGTCTAGTCTATAGTCTAGCCTAGTCTAGTCTATAGTCTAGTCTATAGTCTAGTCTATAGTCTAGTCTATAGTCTAGTCTATAGTCTAGTCTATAGTCTAGTCTATAGTCTAGTCTATAGTCTAGTCTATAGTCTAGTCTATAGTCTAGTCTATAGTCTAGTCTATAGTCTAGTCTATAGTCTAGTCTATAGTCTAGTCTATAGTCTTGTCTATAGTCTAGTCTATAGTCTAGTCTATAGTCTATTCTATAGTCTAGTCTATAGTCTAGTCTATAGTCTAGTCTATAGTCTAGTCTATAGTCTAGTTTATAGTTTAGTCTATAGTCTAGTCTATAGTCTAGTCTATAGTCTAGTCTATAGTCTAGTCTATAGTCTAGTCTATAGTCTAGTCTATAGTCTAGTCTATAGTCTAGTCTATAGTCTAGTCTATAGTCTAGTCTATAGTCTAGTCTATAGTCTAGTCTATAGTCTAGTCTACAGTCTAGTCTATAGTCTTGTCTATAGTCTAGTCTATAGTCTAGTCTATAGTCTAGTTTATAGTCTAGTCTATAGTCTAATCAATAGTCTAATCAATAGTCTAATCTATAGTCTAATCTATAGTCTAATCCATAGTCTAGTCTATAGTCTAATCCATAGTCTAGTCTATAGTCTAGTCTATAGTCTAGTCTATAGTCTAGTCTTTAGTCTAGTCTATAGTCTTGTCTATAGAGTTGTATATAGTCTAGTCTATAGTCTTGTCTATAGAGTAGTCTATAGTCTAGTCTATAGTCTAGTCTATAGTCTAGTCTATAGTCTAGTCTATAGTCTAGTCTATAGTCTAGTCTATAGTCTAGTCTATAGTCTAGTCTATAGTCTAGTCTATAGTCTAGTCTATAGTCTAGTCTATAGTCTAGTCTATAGTCTAGTCTATAGTCTATGTATATAGTCTAGTCTATAGTCTTGTCTATAGAGTAGTCTATAGTCTAGTCTATAGTCTAGTCTATAGTCTAGTCTATAGTCTAGTCTATAGTCTAGTCTATAGTCTAGTCTATAGTCTAGTCTATAGTCTAGTCTATAGTCTAGTCTATAGTCTAGTCTATAGTCTAGTCTATAGTCTAGTCTATAGTCTAGTCTATAGTCTAGTCTATAGTCATGTCTATAGACTAGTCTATAGTCTAGTCTATAGTCTAATCTATAGTCTAGTCTATAGTCTAGTCTATAGTCTAGTCTATAGTCTAGTCTATAGTCTAGTCTATAGTCTAGTCTATAGTCTAGTCTATAGTCTAGTCTATAGTCTAGTCTATAGTCTAGTCT